CCCAAAGAATCTCTACTTATGGTAGAGCATCACATTTGCGCAAGCAATTAGCACATCAGGTAAACTTCCGGCGAATTCCAATTCTAGGATTCCAAGGGGCGATTGCCTGAGTAACTCTTTTTCATTCTATAAAATCTTCTTCAATATTTATAAGCCAAAACAACCGTTTTGACATAAGCTCAATTTTGATGCAAAATCTACCCTTTAATCTTTGCCCAGACTTTGAAATTCTAAAACATTTAAACGCATGAAACCATTCGACATCCGATAGATGAGTACTAGATACTAGTAAAACCATGTAATAAAATATGTAGTGAATAAATTATATAGTAAATATATCATGTTTGTAATATTGCTTTACCTGTTCCTTAAAAAAGTGCATCAAACTTATGTGCTATCAATAAGATAAAGGGATTTACGGCATTAGATTTGCTCAAATCTTATCCGCTCCTAACATTACCGATATCAACACTAGAAACCTCGAAGTTTCAACAACCAAAAGATGTTTATAGTATCTTTAAAATAAACTATTTTGTTATCAGTGCTTCACCTCTTTTCCGAAGAGGTTGAAGAATTTTGAAAATGGATATTTTGAAACAAGCTTCTCTGCAAAACAACGCTCGTATCTGAATAAAAGAGTATTACACAAAGCGCAGATGTTCTCAACAATCCTGACTCGTTTTGAAGATGTTTGAGATTTTTAACAGTACTCCCATCCAAAGATTTTCTGCTTGAAGTTCAATATCGCAGTTAGTAAACGTAGTAGCAATCAACAGCGCTCGTTAACCATGTCTCATTGCAACTTAACAAAGCAACCAACTTCGCGTTCAGCGAAAATTGTCCAGTAAGTATACGTATAAATAGAAATATATGTATAGACATAAACGCATACGCACATAACGAACGCACTATACGAATACATACATTGCAGCACATATAACGCATCATTCACGAGCACACGTACATGCACGCACATGAACACACACTGCACATTGTTAGAAGACATGGTATTTGATTACGCCTAAACGGTT